GCAAAGTCCCTCAACAAGATGAAAGCTCTTGGCTGGCTAAAAAAAGCGTTTAAAAGCTTTTGATACTTCCCAAAGGGGCAGTACAAGATATTAACTCTGCAGGGTTGCCCAAACTTTTGCAGACGCCTTTTTTTTGTTTTCTGTTATTTTGAAAGGTGTAAATGATGATCCCACTGTAGATAGATAGATAGATAGATAGATAGATAGATAGATAGAAATAGTTGGATAGATAGATAGATAGATAGATAGAGATAGATAGATAGATAGAGAGATAGATAGATAGATAGATAGATAGATAGATAGATAGATAGATAGATAGATAGATAGATAGATAGATAGATAGATAGATAGATAGATAATAAGATAGATAGATAGATAGATAGATAGATAGATAGATAGATAGATAGATAATAGATAGATAGATAGATAGATAGAGATAGTAATAGATAATTATTAACCACATGAGCTCCGGAAGGTTTTACCCCCTTCACGGTCGGGCCATTTTTTGCTATTTAGCACTGTAACCAAATTACCCTTATATAGTTTTTTTTCACACAAATAAAGCTTTCTTTTGGTGGTTTGTTCACCCACTGTTTATTTTCTAAATGAAAAAAGGGTAAAATGTTTAAAAAAACAACAAACACAAAATATTTTAGTTTTTGCTATAAAACATATCCAATAGAAAAAAAAATTTAAAATCTAATTTCTTCATAAATTTAGTTCAAAATTTATTCTGCTACATGTCCTTGGTGCAAGGGAAAAAAAATAATCCCAAGAAGTCTGTATTAATTGATTTGTGTGAAAGTTATAGAGTCTACAAAATATGGCATATATACTGGAATATTTATTTATTTATTATTGTTGTTGTTGTTATTATTATTATTATACAGGATTTATATAGCACCAACAGTTTACGCAGCGCTTTACAATATAAGGGCAGAAAGTACAATTACAATACAAATTAATACAGGAGAGTTCAGAGGGTCCTGCTCATTAGAGCATACAATCTAAGAGGAAGGATGGAGAGATACAAAAGGTAATAACTGTGGGGGATGGGCTGATGGACAAAATACATGTACAGTTGTTAGGTGGGGGCAGGATAGGCCTCTCTGAAGAGATGAGTTTTCAGGGATCGTCTGAAAGTGGACAGAGATAGATAGTCGGACATTGGGGAAGGGAGCTCCAGAGGATGGGAGCGGCTCTGTGAGAAATCCTGGAGGTGAGCATGGGGAGGAGGTGACAAGGGAGCTAGAAAGCAGGAGGTCTTGGGAAGAATGAAGAGAACAAGCTGTGGATGGCTTTTTAAGTTGTTATAAGTATCTTGAATTTTATTTGTTGGGTGAGTGGGGAGCCAGTGTAGGGATTGGCAGAGAGAGATGGAGGCCAGTGTAGGGATTGGCAGAGAGGGATGGAGGCCAGTGTAGGGATTGGCAGAGATAGATGGAGTGTAGGGGGCAGAGAGGGATGGGGGCCAGTGTAGGGATTGGCAGAGAGGGATGGAGGCCAGTGTAGGGATTGGCAGAGAGGAGATGGAGGCCAGTGTAGGGATTGGCAGAGAGAGATGGAGGCCTGTGTAGGGATTGGTAGAGAGGGATGGAGGCCAGTGGAGGGACTGGAAAAGAGGTGTGTCAGACACTGAACGGTTGGTAAGGTGGATGAGTCTGGCAGCAGCATTCACGATGGACTGGAGGAGGGGGGATAGCCTATGTAAAGGTACGCCAAAATAGGAGGGAGTTTTATTAACTGTATACTAGTAATGAGGGTGATCAGCGAATAATAGTGAGACTGTGATAGTGCGGCGGGCAATTTGACACTAACTGACACTGTCACCAGTGACACAAATATAGTAATAATACTATACACTGACACTGGCTGGGAAGGGGAGAGTCTACAGAGCCCCGCATGCTTGTCAACACAGGGCTCTGAGCTGCGATTGGACACAGCCAATCACAAGGACTTAGTCATGAATCATTAGCTGAAACCTGTTTACATAATCCCATTGTGTCCAATCAAAAGTGGGAGTTGGCTGGGGAAGGGGGGTGCCCTCTGAACCCTGAAGTCACTCCCGAAGTACAGGTATGTGATTGTGCTTGTACGAGCCGCCCACCTGCAGTAAAGTGAACATGTTGAAAGCACCGTAAAGTAATTGGTCCTATTTTTTTTTTCAGCAGCCTTGTACTCAATAGAGAACATACCCATGCTGTCCTGGCTGTCTACATTCTGACTTTTATGACCGGCCTGCCATCTAACTTGCTGGCTTTCTACGCCTTTGTGGTCAAGGTCCGCAGGAAACCATCACCAGTATACATCCTTCTCCTCAACTTGACCATCTCAGACCTTCTCCTGCTAATGTTCCTTCCACTGAAGATGCACGAGGCAGCTTCCGGGATGGTTTGGGAATCTACCCATATTTCTGTGTCGTTTGACACAAATCTTCTACTTCAGTAGCATTTACATCAGCACCTTGTTCCTCACCGCTGTAAGCATTGAGCGCTACCTTGGGGTGGCATATCCCATCAAGTATAAACTCCATCGAAAACCGGAGTACGCCATATTCGCTAGCATTTTCTTCTGGTTTCTTGTCTGTGGTCACTCCATTATTTTCAATATCGTCCAGTATAGCATAGATAAAAAAGTTACAAATTTCAGCGAAACAAGATGCTTTGAGGACCTTACAAATGAACAGCTCAGGATATTGCTGCCAATGCGTTTGGAGATAGGAGTGACCCAATTCTTCATCCCATCTATAATAACGCTTTTCTGCTACATCAACTTCATAAGGATACTGATGTCTCTGCCCAACATCCAAAAAAAGAAAAAACAGAGAGCCATCGGCTTGGCCATCGCCACTCTCGCCAACTTCTGCATTTGCTTTGCTCCTTACAATATCTCCCACATTGTTGGCTTTGTGCAGAACGAAAACCCAAAATGGAGGGTGGACGCCTTGCTTCTGAGTACATTCAATGCCACCTTGGACCCAGTTGTGTTCTATTTCACCTCTAAGACAGTTCAGAAAACATTTGTTGACTTTTTGGCAGCCATTTTCCTGAAATTAGGGAAAAATATGCTCATGTAAGAAAGTCTATCCATTTCCAGATGATCCTCCATATGTTGATATCAATCTGGACAGGTCCCTCTACCTGAACTGTGAAGACTGCTCTTCCATCTTGCAGGAGACCTTGACAAGACATTCAACTCTGGAGCCCTACGAAGCATGAAAACTTCACTTTCAGGACACAAAGTGGTCTGCTTTTCTTACCCTGAAAATCTGAAACCTGGTGTGGTCCTAACAGGGGCGGACTGACCATTTGGAAACTCGGGCACTGTCCGAGGGCCCGGGGTCAGTAGAGGGCCCCATGAGATGCCCCTGGTACCTTTTTATAGGCTTTTTTGAGTTTGGGCAAGGACACAGGGGCCCCATGATCCCCTATTGCCCGGGGGCCCCATGAGTTGTCTGTCCACCCCTGGGTCCTAAAGATTGCTGGAGATGTGGTTGGCCAAGTACTTTATATATGGCAATGTATCCTTACAATCATTCTGGCAGCAAGTGCTCCCTATTGAACGTATCTTTAGCATTAGATCCCTTTTACTGCCTTCTAGGTTTACCTTTCCCAGGTCTATCCAGGCTGGGACAAGGGGTGGGCAGGAGGGCTAGGTGCCCCGGGCATTGTGCTATCATGTGAGGTGGGGGCACCACACGGAGATTGGGGGGAGGGGATTTGCGTTGAGAGGGAAATTTTGGGGGTCAGCATGGAGTAGGAATTGTTATAGGAAGAACATTTGTGGAGGTATGCAAGGAGTGATGATTTGGGGGGATTTGTGTTGGGATGGTGGAAGAGGATTTGTGCTAGGAGGGGGAATTTGTGCTTAAAAAAAAGTTATATGGTGGGGGGGGATTTGTGCTAGGATGAAAATTTTTATGTGGGGGGGGGTTGTGCTAGAAGAGATGTATGGGGGGGGGTATTTGAACTAGAAGGCGAAATTTGTGGGGGGATTTGTGCTAGGATGGATGATTGGGGGAGTAGAATTTGTGCTGGAAGGGGAGTACTTGAGTGGGACGGGAGGGGATTTATGTTGAGAAGGGGAATTTGGGGAGCAGAAGGGGGAGGTGTACAAGAGTGGTAACTTGGGGGGATTTGTGTTGGGATGGTGGAAGAGGATTTGTGCTAGGAGGGGGGATTTTGTGCTAAAAAAAATAATATGGTGGGGGGGGATTTGTGCTAGGATGAGAATTTTTATGGGGGGCAGGGGATTTGTGCTAGTAGAGATGCATGGGGGTATTTGTACTAGAAGGGGGAATTTGTGGGGGGATTTGTGCTAGGTTGGAGGATTGGGGGAGGAGAATTTGTGCTGGAAGGGGAGGAGTTGAAGTGGGAAGAGATGGAATTTGTGCTTGGAGGTGAAATTTGAGGGATAGAGGATTTGTGCTAGGAGGGGGGACTTTTTTCGGAAGGGAGGGATTTGTGCTGGGGGGCATATGGGGAGAGAGCCGATTTAAGCTGGGGGGGATGGGGGGGAGAGGAACATTTTTACTGGGAGGGGGATTTCAGCAGGGGGACAGATTTGTACTGGGAGGAGGGGGAATTTATGCTTAGAGGGTAAGTATGCAGATTCCTGCTAAATTATTTTTTTGGACCCAATTCCTCCCAATGATGCCAGTAATGGGGCACAATTTCTCCCAATTACAGCAACAATGGGACACAGTGACCCCAATAAAGTAGCAGAATTCCTCCCCAATGATGCCAACGATGGGGCACAACTTCTTCCAATTACACCAACAATGGGACACAGTGAGTCACGCTGACAGAGGAGAGGAGAGCCGGTAATCGGCATTACTCAGAGGGGACATATACACTGATCATCAGGGCACTGAAGATCAATGCCCTGATGATCACTGGAGCCCCAGCAGTGCAACCTGTCAGTGTCCATCAATTCCTGCTGTCAGTGTTCATCAATGCCACATCAATGCCACATATCAGTGCCTACCAGTGCACATCAATGCCACATATCAGTGCCCATCTGAGCTGCCTTTCAGTGTCACCTATCAGTGCCAGTCAGTGCCACCTATCAATGCCAGTCAGTGCCACCTATCAATGCCAGTCAGTGCTGCCTATCAGTGCTGCCAGTCAGTGCCACCTATCAGTGTCAGTCAGTGCCTCCCATCAGTGAGCATCAGTGCTGCCTATCAGTGCATCAGTGCTGCCTATCAGTGCTCGTCAGTGCCACCTATTAGTGCCGCCTAACAGTGCCAGTCAGTGCCACCTAACAGTGCCAGTCAGTGCCACCTGTCAGTGCCGCCTATCAGTGCCATATATGAGTGCTGCCTTTCAGTGCTCATCAGTGATGCCTGTCAATGCCCATCAGTGCCACCTACCAGTGCCTTCTCATCAGTGCCCATCAGCGCCGCCTATCAGTGCTCATCAGTGCAGCCTATTAGTGCCCATCACTGCAGCCTCATTAGCGCACATCAGTGAAGGAGAAAAGTCAATTATTTACTAAATTTTATAACAGAAACTAAGGAAAAAAACATTTTTTTTTTCAAAACTTTCGGTTGTTTTTGGTTTATTTAGCAAAATATAAAAAACTCTGAGATGATTAAATACCACCAAAAAAAAGCTCTATCTGTCTCAAATAAATGATAAAAATGTCATATGGGTGCAGTGTTGCATGACCGCGCAATTGTTATTCAAATTGCGACAGCGCTGAAAGCTGAACGTTGGCCTGGGCAGTAAGGGGGTATAAGTGCCCGGTAGACAAGGGGTTAAATCCAAACAACTTTTATTGTCAAGACAATGAACAGAGTTTACAGAACCAACAATATTACTGTACCAGCCAGGGGCGGACTGACAACTCATGGGGCCCCTGGGCAATAAGGGATCATGGGGCCCCTGTGTCCTTGCCCAAACTCAAAAAAGCCTATGAAAAAGGTACCAGGGGCATCTCATGTGGCCCCCTACTGACACCGGGCCCTCGGGCAGTGCCCGAGTTTCCAAATGGTCAGTCCGCCCCTGGTACCAGCAGAATTATGCATAGGTAACACAATGTGCATACGCAGATCCTGTAACATACAGAATAACTGACGCATTGACCAATCACAGCAGGAGACGCATGGATCATTTTAAGGTTTGACATGTTGGGTATCGCTTTACTCAGCACAACCACATTTTTTATATGTTACCAAGCGGCTAATATATTGCATTTACCTTCCCTAAAATTAACTTTAGTGCATTTTTTACTGAAATTTTCATTTCCTAAACCATTGAACTAAATATCGTGTGACATTAAAAAAAAATTGGGAACTACCACTATTTTATTCTCTAGGGTGTCACCTTTCAGAAAACATATATTTTGGGGGGTTTATGTCATCTTAAGGCCTAAAATAATTTTTTACATAAGTGCAAAATGCAAAAACAACTCTGGCGGCAAAAGAGTTAAACCAATTGCGCCGCATCAAAAAAAAAAAAATCTTACGTTGCAATTCTTTCCCATTGACACCCATTCACTGGATTAAACCTTTCAATTGTTTTCTGAAGTTTTGAATAAATGAAATCTCTCGGTTTTGCTCACTTCTGGCGGCAAAAGAGTTAAAAACCAATTGCGCCGCAATAAAAAAAAAATCTTACGTTTGAATTCTTTCCCATTGACATCCATGCACTGGATTAAACCTTGTGATTGTTTTCTGAAGTTTTGAATAAATTAAATTTTTTGGTTTCGTGCACCACTGGCAGCAAAAGAGTTAAACCAATTGCGTTGCAAAAAAAAAAAAATCTTACGTTTGAATTCTTTCCCATTGACAGCCATGCACTGGATTAAACCTTGTGATTGTTTAATGAAGTTTTGAATAAATGAAATCTCTCGATTTTGCTCACTTCTGGCGGCAAAAGAGTTAAACCAATTGCACCGCAAAAAAAAAAAAAAAAAATCTTAAATTTGAATTCTTTCTCATGGACACCCATGCATGCACTGGAGTAAACCTTGCAATTGTTTTCTGAAGTTTTGAATAAAAAAAATCTTAAATTTGAATTCTTGCCCATTGACACCCATGCACTGGAGTAAACCTTGCGATTGTTTTCTGAAGTTTTGAATGAATTACATTTTTTGGTTTTGCTCACCTCTGGCAGCAAAAGAGTTAAACCAATTGCGTTGCAAAAAAAAAAAAATCTTACGTTTGAATTCTTTCCCATTGACATCCATGCACTGGATTAAACCTTGCGATTGTTTTCTGAAGTTTTGAATAAATGAAATCTCTCGATTTTGCTCACTTCTAGCGGCAAAAGAGTTAAACCAATTGCACCGCAAAAAAAAAAAAAAATCTTAAATTTGAATTCTTTCTCATGGACACCCATGCACTGGATTAAATCTTGTGATTGTTTTCTGAATTTTTGAATAAATTAAATTTTTTGGTTTCGCTGATCTCTCTGGCAGCAAAAGAGTTAAACCAATTGCATTGCAAAAAAAAAAATCTTACGTTTGAATTCTTTCCCATTGACACCCATGCACTGGAGTAAACCTTGCAATTGTTTTCTGAAGTTTTGAATAAAAAAAAATCTTAAATTTGAATTCTTGCCCATTGACACCCATGCACTGGAGTAAACCTTGCGATTGTTTTCTGAAGTTTTGAATGAATTACATTTTTTGGTTTTGCTCACCTCTGGCAGCAAAAGAGTTTTTGAAACCAATTGCGTTGCAAAAAAAAAAAAAAAAAATCTTACGTTTGAATTCTTTCCCATTGACACCCATGCACTGGATTAAACCTTGCGATTGTTTTCTGATGTTTTGCATAAATTAAATCTCTCGGTTTTGCTCATTTCTGGTGACAAAAGAGTTAAACCAATTGCGCGGCAAAAAAAAAAAAAAAAACCAATTCTTAAATTTTGAATTCTTTCCCATTGACACCCATGCACTGGATTAAACCTTGCGATTGTTTTCAGAAGTTTTGAATAA